TGAGGGAGGGCCCTTTATATACAGGCAGCCAGCGCCACGACCAATCAGATGCAGGCACTTGTGTGGTGCGTTCAAAGCCCAYAGGGCATACTGCCACATTCGCAACACACCACGTCTTCAGAGACAAAACTTGTAAACAGGAGCCCTTGAGAAACAGAGTGAGAATATTGGGCATGGTGGGTGTGTCAACTTACCTGTGAGTTGCTGCATGTACATAACAAAAGGTGGCCTAATGGGTTGCAAATTACCCCAGATCTGCCATTTGACAGTCTCTGGTAGAGGAAGGAGAAAGACTGTAAGATGAAAAAGATGATAAAAGATCTCTGTCCCCTCCTGGTGGTCTTTCAGTCAGATTTGTTTTCTGTTGGGTTTTGCTCTGACTGATGAAGGGAAGTTAGAGGATTTTAGCTGAACTTCCTCTTTGTTTCTGTTCTGTTCTGCAGATTTATTAAAGCCATTGTAAAGAAATATTCAGCTTCTTTTATTCACTTCTGGACCCAGATCTGCTTGTTGTAAATGATAGCTCCCATAAAACCATAAATATCAAAGGAACATGAGAATTAATTATGATATGAACATTAGAAGAGCTTTGAGTGCTGCTCAGGAAAAGTTTGTAAAGATTTAAAATTAAAAACAAAAATCTGATAGCTGCAGTCAGAAGATCCTGCTGTTCATCAGGTGTTCATCTTATAAATGTTGGATTATTTTGAGTCTTAATAAATTAATAAGAAATGTTAAGTAGATAAATTGCCTTTTCTTGTGAAAATGCTGGTGTGAGTGCTTCATGCTGAAAACTTAGGCTGAAAGCTGCTTAAATTGAGCTGAAAATATTTAATGGCAAAAGTGTTAAAGTAAGCTCAATTTAAAAACTGAAAGAAGCAAAAAAGCCTAACTTTACAGAAAAACAGTAAAAAGGAGCTGAAATCCAGTTGAAAACAACAGAAAATAGCTAAAAACTACGTGCTAAAATAGGTGAATATAGCTAAAAACATCTGTAAGAGGCATAAATAGCAGAGAAAGCAAAAGAATTTTAAAAAAGCCAAAGACTAGTAAGAAGAAGCAGATCTACAGCTAAAATAGCAAACAAAGCTAAAATTAGTATTCAAAAGGCTAAAAATAGCAGCCACAAGTTGAAATTACCACCTACACAGTGAAAGTGCTGTAAAAATTTAAACATTGCAGGAAAAATCCGAAAAGTACAGAAAAGTGATAATTTGTAGTAAATTAGCTAACACGGACACAATTTCCTGTAAAACAGCTAAAATGTAGTTGGAAATGTTGTAATTAGCATAAGGAGCACAAGTTTGCTGAACTCAGTCAAAACAAATTGTAATAGTTATAAAAAAATGTGTGTTTAGCTTAGAAAAGCTAACTTTAGCTAATAGCAGCTAAACATTAGCTAAAATTTCAGCAAATAGCTGAATATAGCTGAAAGCATCTGTAAGAAGCCTAAATAGCACAAAATAGCAGAACAAAACACTAAAAAGTAGAAAAAAGCAGAATAGCCGAAAAAAGCAGAATTTCAGCTAAAATTGCAGAAAAAGCTAAAATTAGCAACAAGAAAGTGAAAACTGGCATAACCAGAACAAAATGTGTAAGGTGCTGTAAACATTTTAAAGGAGTTTAAGGATGTTGAAAACAGCTCCAGTCATTTTCAATGGAAAAAAAGTGGCTAAAAAAGTGAAATAGCTAAAATAGTATAAATAGCTGAAATACCAAAAGTCATAGCAGCCCTCACATAAATGAACTGAACGTTTTGATATATGATTTGTTGAAATAGCACAAAAATTTGTGGAATGATTTAGATGCCGAAAAACTGATCTCAGTTGTGTGAATGATTGTGAAGAGTCGCACAACTAGAAATCTTCTCTTACAAAAAATGATGACACAAACCTGTAGTTATTAAAAACCCTGAGGATTATTAAAAACCCTGAGGATTATTAAAAACCCTGAGGATTATTAAAAACCCTGAGGATTATTAAAAACCCTGAGGATTATTAAAAACCATGAGGACCATGAGGACCTTGTGCTTCAGACCCCCTGTTTGCTTTGTTGAATAATTTTCAGTGATTTTAATTTTTTTGTTTCCAGAACTTAGTTGTGTTGTGTAATAACTTCCTGTCTGTCAGCTGATGCTTCCTGTTTGCTGCCAGTTGTTCCTGCTGATACTTCCTCACTTCTCCTCTTCTTCCTCTTTTCTCTAACTTTCTGTCTGAATTACTTCAGCTGGTAAAAATGACAGTTTTAAATGTGAGCCTGTTATAAAATACACAGATTAATAAAGTAAAACAGCTGCTTTCTAAAAGTAAAATAAGTTTATATTAGTAGTAAAAGTATTTTCATGTATCTGCAGGAACACTTCAGTATTTTTACCTGCTGTGGGAACATTACCCAGCTGTGATCTGATTGGAGGATTTACTGAGTTTGAACCAATCGTGTCACAGTCAGTCAAAGTGGGCGGAGCCTGATGGAGGAATAAGAAGTGACCCCAACGACCCCTCATCCAGAAAACCAGAACAACAGAGACGGACAGGTGTGTGCGTCTGCAGCAGGTAAATTTTTTTTTTTGAATTGATAATTTTTTGAATTGATAATGTTTATTCATTTCATCAAAAATATACAATATACAACAAAAAACAAACCAAAAAGATATGCAATCAAAATAAAATGAAAGGTAGCAGAAGAAGAAC